AGGGAAGTGGCAATGCAGCAACCGCCTCAGCCAGAGAGGCCACTCCGCACAACCTCCTGCCGCGCATCAACCTGCCTCAGTTTTCTGGCGCCATTGAGGACTGGCTCTCCTTCCGCGACCTGTTCCTCTCCGTCATCAATCGCCATCACACGATCACGGACGTTGAGAAGCTGCATTACCTTCGAACGTCCCTGCAAGATGAAGCGTCAAAATTAGTGAGAGACATACCTCTAATTCACGGCAATTTCGAGCGAGCCTGGGTTACGCTCCGGGAGTTTTACGAAAATCAGCGAGTCCTGGTGCGCTCCAACTTCGCCGCTTTCACGGCTCTCGCGAAGATGAAGAGCGAGTCCGCGATCGAGCTGCGACGAATCTTCCACGGCATGACGAACACCGTGAACGCTCAGGAGAGCCTCGGTCGACCGATCGCCACTCACGGCATGGATCTCTTCGTCCACATCGCGGTCGAGCTCCTTGATCCGCAAACTCGTCGCGACTGGGAGACCACCATCCGGACATCGTCGAAGTTTCCCGAGTACGACACCTTCCGAACCTTCGTCATCGAGAAGATGCGCTCGCTCGAGGCTCTCTCACCGGTCTCATCCAAGAGTGAGTCCAAGACCAGCCAAGCCAAGGCTAACGGCACGCGATCCGCGAAGTCTAACCATGCCAAGACCACCTCGGGATCGGGCAGCTGCGTGGTGTGCAAGAACTCACACTACCTGATGGGCTGTAGTGAATTTCGAGCGAAGACTCCGAGCGAGAGAAAGAGCATAGTTGAGAGCAAAAACCTATGCTCTAACTGCTTAGGCAACCACTTTATTGCCAAGTGTCCGTCGACCAAGACGTGCATCATCTGCAACGTGAAGCACCATTCGCTGCTGCACGATGGCACCTCCAAACCAGCGGTCGCCGAGGCCAGCACCCTCACGGCAGTGCAGCATGGCGACGATCGCAAGGCCATTCTGCTGGCCACCGCACGCCTCTCCATCACTGACCGCCATGGAAATCAGCAACCGGTGAGAGCTCTGATTGATCAGGGCTCAGAGGTCTCGCTGATCTCCGAGGCGCTGGCGCAACGACTCAAGCTGCAGCGCTCCAAGTCGACCTTCACCATCTTCGGCATCGGGGGACTCGTTCCGGCCAGGCTCGAGGGAAAGTCACCCTGCAGCTCACATCAAAAGTGACTGGAGCAACAGTCACCGCGGTCGCCGTCGTTTTGCCGCATCTGTCGCTCTACCACGGCACAGGCCTGCGACAGATCGACGCCTGGCCGCACCTCCTCAACCTTCAATTGGCTGATCCTCAGTTCTCGGCCACTGATCCAGTCGAGCTGCTGCTCGGCGCCGAGGTCTGCTCAGTCATCCTCGAGGAGGGCCTTCGAAAAGGCGATCCTGAGGAGCCCATTGCCCAGCGCACCGCTTTCGGCTGGATCATCTCCGGCGGCGCGACTGCAGCGTTGCTGCACGGAGCTTCGTCCTGCCACGCCGCGATCGACCACGAGCTCACTAGCCTGGTGCAAAAATTCTGGAAACAGGAGGCGGTGACTAAGCCGGTCGCCGCCCTGACTCCTGCCGAGCAAGAATGCGAGGAACACTTCGTGCGAACGCATCTCCGATTGCCGTCGGGACGGTACATGGTGCGCCTCCCGTGGTCAACCCCTCCAGCTGATCTCCACGAGACTCGTCAAGCAGCGCTGCACCTCCTCCGCTCCATGGAACGGAAAAGTGCCAAGGATCCCAGATTTGGCGAGCTGTACCAGGCCTTCCTGAAAGAGTACGAGGACCTTGAGCACATGACGGTGGCAGCCGCTCCTCAACAAGGTGAGCAAGTTGTTTACTTACCGCATCACGGTGTCCTCAAGGAGGCGAGCACCACCACCAAACTCCGCGTTGTGTTTAACGGGTCGCAACGCGTATCGACGGGCGAGACTCTTAACTCCTTTCTGCACGTGGGCGCGAATCTGGTGCCGCCGCTGGCCGACGTCCTGCTCCGATGGCGTCGTCTTGTTCGCGATAATAGCGGACATTGAAAAGATGTACCGCCAAGTATTGGTGCATTTCGATGACCGCGATTATCAGCGCATCGTGTGGCGCCCGACCCCGACGAGTGAAGTGCTCGACTACCGCACGAACACTGTAACGTACGGCATGGCGAGTTCGCCGTTCCTTGCCATAAGATCCGTCAAGCAACTAGCCAAGGACGAGCAAGTCCGATATCCGGAGGGCGCAGCGACCCTTGAAGAAGACTGTTACGTGGACGATGTCGTCACTGGAGCGTCAACCCTCCGCGGCGCGATCGCTCTTCAAACTCAACTTCGCGCGTTGTGCATGGCGGGCGGATTCCCGCTCCGTAAGTGAGCCGCCAACAACGAGGACGTGCTCGACGGGATTCCTCTCGCGCACCGGTTACACCAAACGTCACACGAATGGGACCTCGAGAGCCACTCCACTCTCGGCTTGCGCTGGTTCACGGGCACAGACAGTTTCGCGTTCCAGATCAAGTCACGCGTCGTCCCTACATTCACGAAACAAACCGCATTAGCTGAAACCGCCCGATTGTTTGACCCGCTCGGATGGCTCGCCCCAGTCGTTGTGCGCACAAAAATTCTCATGCAATCCGCGTGGATGCAGAGACTTGAATGGGACACGCCACTCCCACCAGCCGGCGCGCGCGTGTGGCAGGAGATCATCGCCGAGCTTCCCATCCTCGAGGCAGTCCGGATTCCCCGCTGGATAGGGGTCGGGACGTGCGACACTCGATTCGAACTCCACGGATTCGCCGACGCGTCGGAGCGCGGCTTCTCGGCTGTCGTCTCTCTCCGCGTGACAACCGCGTCCGACGACACTCAAGTGCACTTGCTCGCGGCCAAAACGAGGGTCGCCCCGTTAAAACAGGTGTCATTGCCGCGCCTTGAACTCTCGGCCGCCGCCCTTTTCACTGACACCGCGCACCACGTTCAAGACACATTGAAACTGCCTGCTTCGGAGACTCACTTGTGGTCGGACTCCACGGTGACCCTCCACAGGATTCGTGGTCATTCATCGCGGTGGAAGACGTACGTTGCGAACCGCGTATCACACATACAGCGGCGCCTCCCGGAAGCCCGATGGCACCACGTGCCGGGCAGTGAGAATCCCGCCGATTGTGCTTCGCGCGGCATCTCTCCTCGCGAACTCCTTGACCATCCGCTGTGGTGGAGCGGCCCTGGGTGGCTCAAACTGCCTAAGTCCTCCTGGCCGAGCGAGCCCAACGAGGACTTCGGCGAGGACACTGGGGAGCAGCGAGCGTCCTGCAGCACTGCCATTATGGAGGTGAACGAGCCCGTGTTGCTGCGTCGCTTCTCTGGGCTGCAGCAACTTCTTCGAGTGACAGCGTGGTGTCTTCGCTGGCGCCGTCCTCAGAAAACGTCACTCACTTCCGAGGAAATCACTCGCGCAATTCACATTTAGCTCCGCACCGTGCAGCACTGCCACTACGGCACTGAGATCACCACACTCAAGGCCACTCAGCCTGTTCATCATCGCAGTCGGCTCGCCAGGCTGAATCCCTTCCTCGACGTTCACGGGATTCTCCGAGTCGGAGGCCGCCTGAAACACTCCATCCTCCCCTTCGACGGCCGCCACCCGACAATCATCCCGCCGACGTCGTGGCTCACTCGACTCATTGTGGATTCCTGTCATCGACGAACACTGCACGGTGGGGTGCAACTCACTCTGGGCACCGTCCGTCAGCAGTACTGGATACCTCAAGGACGAGCCGTGGTGAAACAACTGCTGCATCGATGTGTCACATGTGCTCGGTGGCGGGCGGTCACTCCACAGCCGCCAATGGGCAATCTACCCGGGGCCCGAGTCACGCCGTCGCGACCGTTTCTCCGCACTGGGCTGGATTATGCTGGTCCAATTCTGCTTCGCACCACAAAGGGCCGAGGACACAAGTCGCATAAGGCGTTCATCGCCGTCTTTGTTTGCATGAGCACTCGGCCGTGCACTTAGAAGTCGCGTCGGATTATTCTGCCGACGCTTTCCTTGCCGCATTTCGCCGATTCACTTCACGCCGCGGCACATGCAGCGACGTATATAGCGATTGCGGCACCAATTTTGTGGGAGCCGACCGACAACTCCAGGAGCTCTTCCGGGCCTTCACATCCGACGGACGTCGAATTGCGCACACCACTTTAGGACAGGGGACACGCTGGCACTTTAATCCTCCCTCCGCCCCTCATTTTAGAGGGCTATGGGAAGCCGCCGTGAAGTCGGCAAAACACCACATTCGGCGAGTGATTGGCGAGGCAACACTAACATTCGAGGAAATGTCCACTTTCCTCGCACAGGTGGAAGCTTGCCTCAACTCTCGCCCGCTGCAAGCAATGTCCGACGATCCTGACGACTTCACGACACTGACGCCGGGCCACTTTCTCATCGGGAGCCCGCTCAACGCCATCCCGAAACCGGCCCTCGACGACACGGCTGTCACTCAGCTCAATCGGTGGCGACACGTGCAGCTCATGCAAGACCACTTTTGGCAGCGATGGGCTCGCGAGTACATCCAAAGCCTTGCATCGCGACCAAAATGGTTGAAGTCAAGCCCTGCACCGGAAATCGGGGCCTTATACCTCATCAAAAGTGAGACTGCACCACCGACGAAATGGTCCTTGGCGCGCATCACCTCGTTGCACCTTGGCGACGATGGCATCGTCCGCGTGATCGCCGTCCGGACGGCGACGACCGAGCTCACGCGGCCACTCACTAAAATCGTGTTGCTTCCCGCAGCAACCGCGGAAAATCAAGCGATCACTCACGAGTGAGCACCACTAACGTTCACAACACGTCACTAATCACGCATTCTGTTCGCAGAACGAAACCTGTCACCTGTTTTGCTCTAATTTAGCGCTGATTCGGCACAGATCAACACCAGGCCACAACTTGCCACAACTGACCACTGCGCATACACGGCCGCGCAGTCCACCACGTGCCTCGACCGTAGCATCGATCATCGATGCACATCGACCGTGGCAGTACACCTAGGGACATCATGCGGCTCTCATCGGCACTACGTGCCAAGGCGGACGGGATGTCCGAAAGTAGAATTAGAATCGGGCAATAACGCAAAGAGACGTCGATGGTTTTCTTCTCGAGACATGTTTGAGAAAATTCGATGAAAAGAAAAACACCGTATTATTTGTTATTCCTCTTGTTTGTCGTTGGTGAGTCGGAGGTAAAGTCGAAAAGTCACGCGGTGAAATCGACAACAACCAACGGCAATCAGAACAGCTTCCGTATAGCGGAGTGCTCCGAGCACGTGCGCTTCCATCACGTGACGCCTCATCCACCAACCCCGTCACGGAAATCGACGTGGAGACGTGACGTAACGAGCTCCGGCCCTATGCAACGCGACGCTACGCGGTGACCGTCAATTCCTTCAAGGGAAGCGAGTCCGTTGGTCTGATGGATGAGACGTCACACCGTCACCGAACTTATAAATAAATGTAGCGCGGTAATGGGAGAGAACTTGTTCGCTCTCGCTCGCAATAGACACCGTCGGCTCTCGTAAAGCAAATTATCGCAAATCTGAAACGGAAACTGTGATTATTCGAGAACTTTCTGTAGACTCTTTGTGAAAATAAACTTATCGTTATTGAAATCAGAACTCTGTCGAGATACAAAACCGATCCTCTTGTTCCTGACCAACCATCGCGCGCGCTCAAACAGTATCATTTGAATCAATATTCATTTTTATAATGACGAGTAGAGTCATAAAATAGCGCGAGGCATATATAAAAGGCCTTATTCTGAGTTTTTAATAATTTCATGATAATTTTAATCAACGGGCTAATTAACGTAATAACGAACTAGAGTGATTATATTTCACATGTAGAACATGTCCTGATACAGTAATTTCGATAAATAAGCCGTTTTCCAGTTTGGCAACACGCTGGAAACTTTAACTGGTAAGCAACACGCCGCCAGAAACTCTAACTCACAATCAGTAGTTCATACGAACTTTGCCGATTATTATGCGCATTAATTATTATCGTTTTAATTAGTTTTGTTGGAGTCCATAGAGACTACCCGTATGATTCTTTTGATTAATTTTGCATTATTTCACTTTTGGCAACACGCCGCCAGCAACTTTAATTTATTAGTTCAAATAAACTTCGCGAATGATCGTGCGAATGGATTGCGAATAGTTTCAATGATTTAATATTTATCCTGACAATATGTTGCATACCTAAATTCTATTATATCTAACATTATTCGGTTTACAACTTGCATATACTTTAAGTTGTAAAGCGAGGTCCACGCTGCCTACCGGCGGGGCGGGTGCGGGGGAGGCAGCGTAGACCTCGCTATTAGTTTTGCGTGGACACGCGTCATGAACCCATGTGGCACCTTGTTTCGCGTGGACACACACACACACACACAAACGAGGCGGTGCGAAGGGGGGGGCCTTCGGCTCTCTCCTCGCACCCGCCGTGGTTGAAAGCGTGGAACTCGCTTTACAACTTAAAGTACATGCTAAGTTATAAAGCGCGTCATGAACCCATGTAACACCTCGTTTCGCGTGGACACACACACACACACACGGGGTGGGTGCGGGGGAGGGGAGGCCGAAGGCCCCCCTCCTCAAACCCCCCCGTGTATGTGTGTGTGCTTCCCACGCATAATTAAACTAATGAAACTCCCAGCGTGAGACCTAATTGCTTGAATCGAGATGCTTGGTTATTCTGCACGATTAATTCATTTAAAATTGGCGCAGTTTTACATGCGCGTGCGGCCACTAAGCATGCGCATGTGGCCACAGAGCATGTTCGTAGTCGCCAGTAGTCGCTACAGCTCGTCGGTATGACAGGAATCATAACCTGATTCCTGTCAACTTTTACGTTTAATATCTTGCGTCGCGGGGCAGAGCGACACTTTTTTCTGCCAGATTCTTTCGTTTCGTACAAAAACGCGTCGATTGAGCATAATTACATCGAGATTTGAGGTGCCCATGTGATGTATTTGTTGAAATACAACTTAATTCCAT